AATATACTTACAAATTCAAAATGCTTTAATCTGCATGAATGAAAAATGATAAAACTGATTTATCTCAGGATCATTCCACCCGTATTGGTAATGATAGGATTTGGATGTACAATATGGATAGTGAGCATGTTCTATGGACCAATCAAGGATTTATATTCTGATTTAGAGTATCAAAGGTGCCAGAAAAATTGGTGGACATCTGTTCTATTCATAAATAATCATTATAACCAGTATGACATGGTGAGTACAATGAAAATTGTAAATAACCTTCGACTTGTGATGCACTGTTTGGAAAATTTGGTGTAGTAATGTATATCACTGAAGTTCTATCCCAACACTAAACTGTTATTTTCAACACCTTGACACGTGTTTCAATCACCAAGTGATTATCTTCGAAAGGATGAGTTTAATCTTTCTCTTGAAGATGATCACTTGGTGGTTAATACACGTGTCGAGGTGTTAAAAATGATGGTAAGAACTCCAGTAATATTCATCGAGTTCAATTATCGTAAGACCATTTTTGTGCTATTTCAAAGACCACTCTGATCATTGGATTTGATAATGTACTCTTAATAAATGTAATTATTCAACTTTTCAAGTAAGATGCTAGTCAGGCATTGTATCTGATCGTTCCGATACTAACGAATGAGGTTATCCTAGTGTCATTATCTGAAGAATAATATATGAAAGTATCAAAACCAAATTTTTCAATGTTCAAATCATAATACAATTTTCAAATCATAGCTGGGTCTTTGAAAACCAATAACAGAGCGCAATACTATAGAAACTCTATAAGTATCTGTATCTGTAGAGTAGGAAGGGTGAGTGTAGACCCATAGCACTTAGGTCACATGTGACCCATTGTACATACTCTCGAGGAGTTGTCTTCCTAGATCATCGTCCATCCTGATTACCTCTGACAGAGCCCCGTATTACCAGAGGTAGGCTGATTACAATGAGGTTTCGCCCAGTTCCCCAAGGGAATCGTTCGTGACCGCATATCAGCCTGCGGCCATTCAGCTATCGGTACGATTCCTTACACCTTAGCTTGGGTAGGCTGGTCCACGGAGGCATGTTTTGCAAAGGCTTTAGGGGAGTTTTAGTTCCCCCCACCCTACTTATTCCTGTCATTAACCAGGAGTCCGTAAGGCCACATTGGCTTCCCGGACAGGGCCTCCAGTCCCCTGGCCGTTCCCCTATCCGCCCCCTGGGGACGTGCTCGATAGGTAGCCCAGTCCACGGAAACTCTTCAAGTAATTTATTGAGTGCTACTAACCTGAAGTCGCAACAATTATATGTTTGGATGAATTTGTGTATCGTTCATGCAGAAGTGAAGAATGTTACTGGTCTACACTGCTGTTACTGTAAAAATTTCGATATAGTAACATAATTCTAAACAGTATACATGCCCAATTAGATAACTATAATATTTACATTCTCCTTAGAGCACCATCTCTTCAATTGGATACTGAAAAGTCAAAAATTCTACTTCTTTCGTGTGCCTGGAGAACTAAAGTGTCTTCCAACAGGGACTTCTGAATTTATTCAATCTCTTTTGCTAAATAATCGTGGACGGATATAGCATTCAACAACACCTGCAAATGATGGAATTGTTTTATCAAAATGGGTGATCTGATCGAGCAACGTACCGCGCGCTTCACCCATTTCACGGTCGCCATAATCGTCCTACCGAGAGGACTATTCGCAATGTGGTGGATGAATTTGAGTCCACTGGTTCAGTTAAAGTGTGCAGGAGAATACGAAGCAGTAGATTTCACATCGCTCACAAGAACTCGGCCTTTCGCAGATCACAACTTGGTGAATTTTACATCGTGACTTGGTCCTGCACTCGTAAAAAATTCAGCTGACCCAGGAACTGGAAGTAAACGACCATAGACATCGACGTGTTTTCACTGAATGGAATCTGAAGCAGTTGGCAACTGACCCTAATTTTCATCGAAAAATCATTTTCAGCGATGAGGTCCATTTCTGGATGAATGGGTACGTGAAAAAATAAGATTGTCGAATTTGGGACGATACCAATCCACATGAGATCCAAGAGCGTCCGATACATTCCGAAAAAGTCACTGTTTGGTGTGAATTTTGTGCTGGCGGCGTTAACAATCTACATTTCTTTGAAAACGACGTTGACCAAGCCATCACTGTTAACGGCAAACACTATAGGTCAATGATTACTAAATTCTCTTGACCTGAATTGGATGATCATGTGGTTTCAACACAGCTCTTGCCACATTGAATATTCTGCACGGGCGATTTGAGGGAAAGGTCATCTCACGTGGAGGTGATGTGAACCGATCATCGAGATTTTGTGATTTGATTTCGTCAGATTTTTTCTTCTCCCAGGTGTATGCGAATGAGCCACAAACTATAGCGGTCCTCAAAGTCAACATAACCTATGCCATCGGTTATGGAAAATTGGACATTTTGGAGGCGCTCCACCCAGAAGTGCCATGACGGAAATCTGTAACTGTAGAGTAGGGAGGGTGAGTGTAATTAGGCCACATGTGACCCATTGTACATCCTCCGAGGAGTTGTCCTCCTGGGTCATCGTCCATCCTGTTCTTTCCAGGAAGGTGGACAGGTCACTGGGAGACATCTTTTTTATATCGGCAGGTGTAGGCCAAGACTCGCCGAACACACACTCTCTTATTGACGATAACTCCATGCACTCGCATAGGACATGCCTGACATTCTTATCTTTCTGTTCACACATCCTGCATAAAGGTTTGTCCACTAGCCCCGTATTATGGAGGTGTTTCCTTAGTAGGCCAAGACTCGCCGAACACACACTCTCTTATTGACGATAACTCCATGCACTCGCATAGGACATGCCTGACATTCTCATTTTCCTGTTCACACATCCTGCATAGTGGTGTGTCCACTAGCCCCATAGTATGGAGGTGTTTTCTTTATTAACAATGGACAGTCAGAAATCCTACTGTTAGGCGTAGATTTTTCCTGGTCATCGTCAGATATTTCTTCGGCACCAGGTTCACAGGATCGTCCAAGGTGATCCTGGCAAGATTGCATCTTTGCATCCCATCTCTTTAAGGATTGAGCATGGGTGTAACATTTGGCTAGTTGCGCAATTGTCGAAGTCATCAGGCCGTAGGTGCCACTGGGTCCTAAAATTCTCAGTCCAGCCGCTTCCTTGGCTAAATAGTCGGCAATGCGATTATCTTTACTCCTGTCGTGTCCTTTAACCCACCTCAGGATAATGTTATTATCCACCGAGGCTTTGACTAAATCTTGGTGACACTCTAGTACTAGCCCTGAGGTAACACGTTTTCTGTTCAAGGCTGAAGGACATTTGAACGATATTATATTTCACACATAATGGCGAACGAATAAAAATGTTTGATGATATCTCACACACACTCTTAACATAAGACCCTATAGGATCCAACACCCTGGAATTGAGATAAGTTACACATTTACAGCAGATCTTCCTGAATATCGGTATTGCAGAAGAGTAGATCAATGTTGAAACAGTAAGGATAATTATATCGGCATTTTTGTTTTCAATCGAGAGTTACAATATCCATCGACTATATCTGAACTTATATCAGACTTATATCAATCCCCTGTTTTCTATGCAATGATTTTTTCGAATACACTCATTGTCAAAATAATTGAAATTTGAATTGTATGATTGATTTAACCCTACACAATATCATTATGAATGGTAATTTCTTTCAGTGTCATTTCATTACATGGTACCTATCAGCTGATACCCAACTTTACGTGCTGTCTCTGATAATTTTGTCGATTATCTGGATGTTCAAGAGAAATACCGTCACAATTTTGGGGTCCTGTGTTGTTGTTGGAATTCTGATACCGACTATGATATCTTATATCTATGATTTGGATTTCATTTATAGAATTACCCCAGAGTAAGTAGAAATAGGAGACTTTGAGAATCTAAGTGAAATACTGTTATGCTTGGGGGGGAAAAGAGTTTGGGGTATTCTATGTTGTAGGTAGGTAGGTAAGTAGATCCAAAGTGACTGTTGCAACCTACCTCGTAGATAGATACGTAGGTCCAAAGTAACTAACACCTATTCAAATCACCCTTCATTTGAAGAGTGCAAGATTGGAACTCTGCTAAAAACTGGAAATCAGGTTTCCAGTGTTTGTCCAGTCCCTGGCCGGACAGGCAGAGTGTATACTTTGATATCGTGGTCCAGAATTTCTTGTGAAGAATAATCCACTCCAATATTGATAGACCTTGACACATTTTTCTCAATTGAGTGAAGACCTGATTCAAATAACATACTATTTTTAGGGGAAAATGAATTTTGGGTATTTTATGATGTTGGCAGGAAGGTTCAAAAACAGGTACCAAACCTTCACTGTAACCCGTTAGGGTTTTTTAGGGATCACAGCGAATGAATATCATTCTGAAGACTCTTCAGTTAATTAGTAGATATTGGGTTGATAGATGTTCAAGGTGCAAAAATCCCACCTCAATAACTTCATGATGTACTGAGATTTCAAATGAATAATTTTTATATTTATATTTGCAGGAATTCCAAGAATAATAAATTCAGGTCTTTTAATTTCAATGCCATATATTCGTCAAACTACGCCAACATGGCTACATATATGGTGGGCCTATGTTTTGGATATGTATATTCAAAAATGAAAAATGGACATTTTTTTGTTAATACCGTAAGTATTATCAGTTTTTCATTCGTTTCTAAGATATTTTCGGGGTTTGCTGGCCGTCGTCTGCGGGTTTTCATGTCCGATGTTTCATCTACAACTGCGGTAGATATCATCAAACATGACGGAACATCTGACGAAGTGCTGTAGTTGTCTTCATAACAATATAGTTGAAAATCTGCAAACCACAGCCAGCAAACCCAGAAAACAGATTTCACAATTATCTTCTGTTTCGTTTTATGAGTACATCCCTCCTACATTATATTTGCTAAGACATTTCTGAAGGTCCTCTTACACAATATGATAATGAATATTCTGTTGACGATGAAAAAAATTCCTACTAGTTGCTGAATCTATTTATCGAATATTCCAGTATTCCATGAAATGAGTTTATATTTTATTTTATACCTTTCTCTGGAAGCAAATAAAGAAGAAAAAAACAAAAGAAAAACAAAATTCATTGTCCAACAGATGGATTCATTTACAGGACAATATATAATATTATAGGGCAGTATAAATAAAGGCTACTTAAACTAAATATATAACAAAAGATTGACATATTAAGGATTTGACAAATTGAGAAATAAATTCACATATAGGAGAAATCATTATTTGTGAATAACATGATAATATTAAATTATATATCACAATATTCACGCAGTCATTGTTCACTGTGGTTCTGGCGTTGAATCTGGTCATTATTACGCCTTGGTCAAAGACGAAACGGACTGGTTTAAGTTTGACGATAGTTGTGTCACGAAGTATTTTGGCGATGTATTGAATCTATTGGAGCCTCTGGAGAAACCCTACATTTTGTTTTATGAGAGAGAGGACATTGGTAGATCAAGATCTTCAGATGATGTGGTGCTGCAGGTTTTTCCGGATTTTCCTGCAGCTGAAAAAGCAAATGCGCTACTGGAATCAATGAAGTCGCCCCGGAGCGCCAATTAATTTTTATTGTTGTTTTTATTTTTATTGTTGTTTTATAATTTCACAAATACATGAAATGAAGACAGTAAGCCAGATGATGGTTTGTTCAATTTTGGATAATATGGTCTTCAGTTGATCAAAATTAATATCGCAATGAGTCCAGTGGGTATTATAATTTTCACATATCAAATTTATAGGAAACACTTTTCCAAGGTTGGATCTAGTGAAAGGGGTATAAAAACTGATCTCTACTACGTGTAGTAGCTCAAGGTAGTTCCTCTATCAGGGTACACGACATCAGTTCTAAATGCAAGAAACTTCAGAAAACGCCTTTGCTCATTTTCCAAGGTTTCCTTATGTGCATTATAGAGAGGATATCAAATCAAAGTAGCATACTCTAATATTGGTGTCAATATTGGTGAATGACTAATAGTTGCGCAAAACAAAGCCGAGCATTTTTCTAGCCGATGCCGCGACAATATTGGTGTGGCCAACAAATGTCAACCTGCTGTCAAACGTCACCCCTAGATCTTTGACAGCTTCTTCGCGAAGGAGTATATCATCCTCGAAAGTATAAATATACTCAATAATATTGGCATTACGTGTAACGGAGCAACATTTGCATTTTTCAACATTCATTGCCAATTTATTGATTTGTCAGCAGTTATCTATCAGGTCTAATTGAGACTGAAGATAAGAGCAGCTCTCTAAACTTGCCATACATGAAAATATTTTCAAGTCGTCAACAAAAAGTAAGTTGCCACACGAAAGCTCGGAGGTGAGGTCATTTATGAAGATGAGGAGAAGCAGGGCCCCAGATCGGAGCCTTGTGGCACACCGGATGGTGATGAGTATCGTGCAGACGCAAATCCATTATAAAAAACAACATGGATTTTCTGATCCAAATAAGAGCGTAGGAGTTTAAGATAANTCGTGAAGACATTGGGATGTATGGATGTATGGATTGTTGAAATAATGAGGTTGAAATAATGAGGTGAATATTCAAACTTCGCGGGCAATTTATTCATTTGTTTGAGTTGGTACACCCGCCTCAAACATATGTTCACATTTTCAGCTGTTTAATATATTTACTTTGTTGGTAAGGGCCATGAAAGTTGGAAGTGTTTGCATGTTCGGCGATTTTCTGCTATCGAAAAAAATTGATAAAAGAATTTGCATCAAATTTCACGTGAGAAATGATGACAGTGGCACACGACGATAATAATCTGAGTCAGAAAAATGTTTACAAGTGGTACAAGCGTTTCACAGAAGGTCGAGAAGATGTGAATGACGATGCTCGCCCTGTACACCCCAGCACATCAACAACCGATGAAAATATTGAAAAAGTGAAGAAACTTGTCGTCTAGTCACTGTAAGAGAAGTTTCTGAGGATATCGGCATATCGGTTGGTTCATGTTATGCAAATTGTTTGTGAATTTTGGGCATGGAGTGTGCGGCAGCAAAGTTCGTTCCAAAATTGCGGAATTTTGGACAACCGTCGAATGGACATCACTCAGGATTTACACAAAAGGGTCATAACTAGTGATGAATCATGGGTGTATGATTATGACTTCGAAATCAAAGACCAATCGTTTCAATGAAAGAGCCCAGTAGAGTCACGACCAAAGTACGTCAGCCACCGTATTCACCAGATTTGGCATCCTATTCCCAAGATTGAAGAGACTCATGGAAGAACGGTGGTTGGCGATGATTGAGGAGATGAAAACGGAATCGCCACGATAGCTCAAGGACATACCAGAAAGTGTATATCAGAACTGTTCCGAAGATTAGAAAAAACGCCGGCACTAGTGTGTTATATCTGAGGGGGACTACTTTGGGGTTATTAAAATAGAAATTGATAAATGAATATTTTTTGAGAAAGAAGAAAATTCACCTCATTTTTGAAGACAGCGAAGACCACAGAAATTATCTCTATCATTTCATTTTTTTATTCAAATGTTATATACTTAGGTGAGTTTGGAAATCTAGTTTAATTTTCAGTTTTGATGTTTTTTATAGCCATCTATATTTGTTTTGAGTGAAATTGAATTACTTATGTGTCTTTGAATCGTATTCCCACGAACTTAAAAACAAAATGCCAATTTGAGAGCAGCATCAGGAAGGAGCTTCTGTTTGCTTCTCATCTTCAGACCTGATACTAATTCACTCACCAGTTGTTGAAACTGGATGATGCACTCACTTATTCAGAAACATAATCACTGATAATTTTGAGCATTTTGAATTCGTTTCAGAAAACATTGCCAGATTTACTAATCGAATGATTATTGAAATGAAGAAGAAAATAAAAATGTCTTGTTGAATTATAATTACTCAGTAGTTCCTTCTCTCAAATCATAATTTATAAATAGAATTGCATTAGTACAGTAACAAAATAATCCAATGACAATATTTTTATTTCAGTCATCTAAAATAATATGCTGGCTTGCATTCTTAGGATTACCCGTTTCGGTAGTTCTCGCTTCTTCGCATTACTATTCAAGATTCGTCAGTGCCATTTTGAGTGGTATTCTGAAACCATTATACGCTGTGGGTATAGCAGTTGGTATTCTAGGAATGTCCCAAGGAATAGGGGGTGAGTATTTGATTGACAACAAACATAAGAGAGAAAGAGAGAGGGAGATGAAGAAGAAATATAAAGGATAAGTATATAGGAAAAAATGGTGACATGGAAATATTCTTACTTTATTTTCACAAAAGAGGTAAATGAATGTTAACATCAACTAGTGACTTCGCAGTCAACGATTATATCACTGAAGGTGTATGCCGCAGTGGCAGACGAAACATTTGTGGTTCCTTTCGACTGTGGTATATATCAGCTTGAATTCTGTTACATCTAATATCATAAGGGAATCTATATATCGTGTCATTTGTTTGAGATTCAATAGTTAGCACAAACTTCCAACAAATGTAAGTGGAAAATATTATTGAACTATTACTTTATACTTCACGATTCAGTAACTAACCATTAATCGGTATGTATGTTAACAAAGAACTATGTGTTCCGCCACTACTTTTTAGCATGAATCACTGAAGAGTTTGTGACTCTCCAGCAATTTTTGACGTAGCTATAAAAATATTTTGCTTCACCATAACCTCTCCATTCTCCAATAGATAATCAGCAATAATATTCAGTCTTTTGTTTCTTTTCATTATCGTTATTCAACTCATCGTTAAGAATTGTTACTGTTAATTCAGATTATTAGCAAAGAGTATTTGAGTTTTCAGGATCACATATTCAAAACAAACGTATATGCCAACATTCTTATCATCTTTAAATAAATCACAACTTATATCAATGGAAATATAATTTTCGGCTTGGTAATAAATGTAAGTCTATCCAGATAATCCTACAGGCCAAAATTTTCAGCTCTGGAATCTCTGGTGCAAGTGGGCTTCGTTTTGGAACATCCTCAACGGCAGCCATGATTGTCATCTCAATAACCACAGCAAACCTTAAAGGACATCTGAAAATCAGCTATAGATGACGTTTAAATTTAGCCATGCAGCGCTTTTCCGTCTCTGGTTCTGGTGAACAATCGTTTGAGCGTGAGCGTTTGCTGATCTGCTCGAGTAGCGCTTGATGCAGATTCTGCTTTAGCTGTTCAAAAATTTGGTACAGGGCAGTTCCATCAGCAGTTTCCTGGTTGCACCACCTAGCCTAATAGGTTTGTTGATAGGACCAAGAGTTGAGAAACTGAGAAGTTCTTGCTATTGATCCGAAAGTTGGGGTTGTTAAGTCGATGTTCATCTTCTCTGTAGACTAAGCGTCAGCTTCTTCGGTTACTTTAATATCTATGAAGGGCTTCAGGAGTGAGGGGAAGGTCCAGAGCCTCGAATCATTTATTTTTTACGACTGTACCAAGGAGGTTCCGTTATTGATACTATGTGTCAATAACGGTCAGTGTCATTCTTTTTTTGGCACGAATACACACAATTCTTGTTCCGGTCGTTATTTGAGAGGATTCCTCTATCCAGGGGTAATGCCTTACCTAGCAGGGGTTTTCTAATGCTTCCCTCTTCAGGGCGGATTTTTTTTGCTTCGGTAGCTGAATCCATTCATTAGAGATTGTTAGTTTCTTTCTTCTTCAACTCTCTCGAACTAATCAGTCATCACAAGTGTAAGATCAATTTAGGAGGATAATCATGTATTTCACGGAATATGTATTTCGAAATTGCTCTATTGAAAATTGAATTGAGTTCTTCCACTCTACAGGTATTGTCAAAAGAATATGCGAATGGAAACCAGCACTCATTTTGGGCAACCTCACCTATAGTACGTATGTTGTGCATTATGGAATAGTGTTCTACAGAACAGCAACAGCCAAACAGCCTCTATATATATCGGATTCCGTATTGGTAAGTATTTTGACTTCATTCGTGTAAAATATTCATCGTACAAATGAAGGTGTGGAGGTAAGGAACGCTAAAGTAATTTATATTGAATAGTCACATAGGTTTCCCAAGATTCTGCAACTTGGAGAAAATTGACAAATCATATAAATTATTATAAAAACTGTTTTATCAGCGATATTCCTATCTTGATGCAGTTCTTCTTGTTTGAGTTCCACATAAAAATGAACATATCAATTGACATTCACAACTGAAATGAGAGTTGATGTCACCTATCATTGCCAACAGTTTAATTCTCTAACCCGAACTAGGCGGCTAGTTTTTTTGTTATTGTCAAATGTTATTGTGAAATTCCGATTGACGTTCAGTAACTGTTAAATAGGACAGTAGTCGTTGTATTAATTCGTGAATTTTCTGTAGTATTGCTTCGAATTAATTTGAAGTAGTAATGAATTTAAGTGTAAAGCAAATAATTAAAATACTTATGATGATTGGCTATGGACACAGATCGCGAACTCAGATGGAAGTATGTAACTTATTTAATGAAAAATTTCCTGAAAGACGCATAACTCAGTCAGCAGTAAGTAAGATTGAAAAGAAATTTCGAGAAACTGGTACAGTTGAAAATGCACGCGAATCAGGTCGTCCTTCTGTAAATGATGATACAAAACTAGATGTTCTACTTGCTTTTGAAGAAGACGTACACATTTCTGTTCGTAATGTTAGTCGTGATTTCGATGTCAGTAAAACAACTGTACACAAAGTATTGAAATTGGTAAAATGGCATCCCTACAGGAATTAAACGAGGATGATCCAGATAGAAGAATAGAATTTTGTGAATCCATGATGAATAACTGTTACCAAGACCGTCTCCTCGAAAAAAATATAATTTTTTCTGATGAAGCCACTTTAACATTAAATGGTGGGGTCAACCGTCAGAATTGTAGGTGCTGGGCCAAAGAAAACCCCCACTGGATGCGTGAGTATAATACACAATACCCGCAAAAGGTAAATGTATGGGCTCGTATTGTGAGAAACAGGATCATCGGACCCTACTTTTTCGACGGTACTTCAGACGGGCCAACATACCTTCAGTTTTTAAGGGGATATCTTGTACCTACTTCAATTAATTTATTCCCCAGTAGAATTAATACCGGAAGTTTTCATGAAAGTTTATGATTCCAATAGGATGGTGCGTCTCCACATTATGCTGCAGATATTCGAAGGTATCTCGACCAAATGTTTACGAACCGATGGATTGGTAGACGTGGACATATTGAATGGCCAGCGAGGTCGCCAGACTTAAATCTGTTAGACCCCAAGTATCATACCTTTTCGGAATCAGCTCGTTACGGATTATCTAAAGCTGACACCAAATACATGGTGTTGCATTTAAAAAAATTACCGATGACGTCATCACGTTAATATGGATCACCCTGTATAATGAAATTTTGTTGTAAAATGTAGAATATTAAAATTGAAAATAGATTTGTTTCAGGTTTTTCGTAAAACGACCTTTGGTTTTGGAAATATCGAATTTATTCCATACTCTGCGGACACACTGTATATTCGCTTTATTCAAAAACTTTCAATTGGAGATTTCAAATTCCTGACTAATTGGAAATTTTGCATAGAATTGAGCGTCGAAGTTCTGCCTCACCCATCATACTTTCCAGACTTATCGCCAATCGATCACCATCTCTTCAGGCACTTTGATAGCTTTCTCACCGTTAGAAACTTGGCTAATCAAAACTAGGCTAACACAGCCTTCATTTACTTCATCGAATCCCAAACACAAACTTTTCATGCTGACGGAATTAATTGATTTGTGTTACGTTGGCAAAAGTTTGAAGTAGTTTAATAAAAACAGACAAAACTTTTGAAAGCTAATAATATATTACGTGGAATTCAACAAAAATATTTAAATTTCCTTCATTTTCCTTGCTGTTTCTTGTATATTGTTGATTTTGCAGATGGTGGAACGCTTAATATCCAAGAAACAGAATGGAATATCCCCACAAAAATATATTTCATAGAATATTCATTTGCATTTCAATTTTCGAAAGTAACAACAAAACTTCGAAGTTAGAGACCTTTCAATATATTTCCACAAGATAGGATGGTTAATTTACACAATTGAATATTTTTCAGATCACATCATTCATTTACGACGCTATTTTTTCTTTCTCCTGTGGATTCTTGATGCACATCCTTGTGGAAATGCCTGCATCTCAGCTGCAGAACAAATACGTTCCTCAAGTTAGGAAACAACGTGGATTGGATAAGAATAACAAAGAAAAATGAAGAAAGTATACTACAGACTCGAAGAACAGGGTTCTTAGAGTTTCAGAATAGAAGGGAAACAAGAGTCCAAATTTTTCAAAATGTTCCTAGTAAAGTGGCAGTTATTCACTCCTTAATTTGGTGAAATATTCAATATTTTCTCCATATTCAGTCAAATAACATTATTATTACTGAGTAAGGTATTTATTGAGTTACTTTGTTATTGACAAATCATTTTGAATGATTAAATCAGCTGTTGAAACATCGTGATTTTCATTTATATTCCTGAATAGTACAAAAATACTTCATTAAAAATATTTTGACAAGTCGGTACTGAAAATTTGTTGAAGTATGTGTGTTGAGGTTATTAAATTGGTATTTTTAAACAAACTATACATGATATTTTGGAAAATTCAGTTCTTCATATTCATGAAATAACTACTTATGTTTCGCTTCGTCTAAATATATTTAATGGATATAAGTATCGAAAGCTTAGAAACGGCAATTTGATTCTGTTGGTGAAAATGTTTCAAAAAAACTATGGAACAGATTCATTTCTATTTTGATCAGACACTTGAAAACTTAATTCTTCACTTTTCCCCTTCCTCTGGGGAAGGGGAGAAGTAAAGGTACCCCAACTCTAAAAATATATAAGGCCTCGTGATAGATGTGTTGATACCACTTCTTTTAATGCAACAAGAAAATGTTGGTGGGAGATTATCTGCATTTTCGGTAGCTTGGAAGTTGCCACAATACCCTTTGAAACGTCAAAAAAATGTTGTTGGCGAAACATTGAAAAATTCTTCTTCAAAAAAATCAGCGATCAGCAATTCTGAAAACCAAACCCCCAGTGAATCACGTCCGTAAAACCTCACTCAGTATATAAGTGTTAAGAAAAGTCTACTCAATCTGTGTTGAAAGTTTTCAATAGCTATTATTTTGCCTTAACAATCATATTTCGTATAGTTTATGATCGTTGAACGAGCTGATAAGTATTCATTATATTTTCCTGAACATTTTAGTGTCAATTTGGTAATATGCTTTCGAACATGTTTTTTAACACATTATTTGTTATTATCGCCGTAGAATTTTCTTTGGGTGAAGTTTCTGGTAAGTAAACTTAATTGATATAATATACATTGTGTTTCTTTGAGTGTGCAAAAATAGAGATAATTCATGTAGGGTAGGGTGGTCGACAGTGGATCACCAATTTTTCAAACCCATATTTCGGAAAATAATACATTGATTGATTGATTGATTGATAGCACTTTATTTCCAACAGGCATTCACCCAATTACAGGAAATGTACAAAGGTGTTGATCAAAATATATGCAAAAAAGTATAATTAGTTGAAAAAAAGATTGCTACAACTAAAAGAAGAGTAAGTAGAAATAGAAATATATCACAAGAAGTGAGAATACATTTTAAAATAAAAATTTGAGAACTGTGATTAATGTCGCACATATCACATATTGAATTGTAGTTGTTACAAAGTATTGACACTGGTGCTTTCAAACTGTTATTTGTTCTGACAAGATCACAGTAAAATGTCGTTTGTTATCTGGAATTAGGGCGTGGGGTGCGGAAGTTGATCATTTGTAAAAGAGGGGCATACGAGATCTTATTGTTTAGCAGTTTGTGAAGAAAGGAGATTGTGACAAAAAGTCGTCGTATATTCAGAGATATTACATTAAATTGATTCAGAAGGATATAATAGTCGGTTCCCCTCTGAGGATATATTCCTGTGACCTTGAAAGACAGATATTTAAAAAAAATTTTTTGAACAGCATCAATATGATGTATGTGGCAATTGTAAATTGGATACCATATTAACACGCCGTATTCTAGTTTAGACCTCACATAGGCATTAAACAGTGTTATAATCGTATTAATATTCTTGAATTCTCTGGTACTCCTTATAATAAAGCCCAACATTCGATTCGCTGATGAAATAGCCTGGTCTATGTGGGAAGTGAAAGTGAATTTATAATCAAAAGTGATT